TGCATACACGATATAAAGTACCCAGGGCTTCTACATATAAATAAACGTTTTTTCAAACATTTTACAAACAGGCAGACAGACTGACAACCCTAAAGCAGTATACCGCCGCCTTAGGAGTGCGAGTATAATTACCTACTGTTCTACTGTTTTACAGTCCCATGTCTGAAAGTAAAAACAACGGAAGAGGAGTAACTCTAGGAAATAATTTGTCCTATGTATTTTTTAGTATTTTCCTTACACGAATACCTTAACAAAAAATTTATGTGTATATTTAATACTTAGCTGTTTCATATAATTTCAAACCCATTTTTTTATTTTTTTTTTTATCACTTTACCTGTTTGACACTTGTTCTGAACTCCTCATTGGTGGATATTGGATTATTGAATCACATTTTCCCTTGTATTTTAGATTTACCATAGTGAAGGAAAGAAAAAGATATCCATGTAAACAGAGAACAATTTTTAGTAGATAGAAAATTGCATCAAATTGTGTCTACATTTCACTTTAAAATATTAGAAGGAACATTTTGTCACTTCTAGTACCGTATTTCTCCATATCTGATAGTTACATTTTTTTTTAATATTTAAATTTTAAATGTTTAAAATGGTATATCTGTAGACTCAATGGAAAGATCTATATTCATAACATTTAAAAAAAAAACTCCACTCCTATCTTATTTTATATTCAGAATTACTCTCACATCAAATAAACCAATGCAAAGCACTAGTAAGTCAAATTCGTGTAATAACATAAATTATGAAATCAATTCTATAAATTCAAAAATTTGTTTATACATATATGAAGGCGATTGTTGAGTAATGGACATAAATGCAATATTAATTATTGCAGTTTCAGATTATGCTGCAGATGAATTCCGTTCAAAATTAAAAATGTTAGTCTTGAATTTTTTACTATACAAAACCCTTAGAAATGTTCGCAATAATAAAAACATCGCGCAAATAATTTAAATTACAGTTATCTGAAACCTCAATCACACTTAATGTCGAATAAAATTAAAAGTTTATTTGCTAGCATAATTTTATGCTACTTAAAAGTTTTTCTTATAATTCAAGCACCAAATATTATAAACATATATATCTTACAATTGAACATGAACTAAGATAAAATTTTCTGTTTCATTGTTGCATTAATGATTGCAAAAATTTTCAAAGCAGCAATAACATTTTTTTTATACATTTTTCATAAATATGACATTTATAACGAAAATGATAATTTTTTAGAATCCTAAATAATCAAATGTCCAAAATTATTAACCTGAGCTGATATAATCAAAAATACCTTTAACGTGTCTTTTAGGGTTGAAATCCAACAGCAAGTATTGTAAATAAAAAATCGTTAAGAAATATTGATAGAATATTCTAATTCTATTTAGGACCATATATCAAATATAAGGCTTACACTCGTTGGTTCAATTTTGAACAGACGGACACATGGAAGAACAAATAGACAAAGTCAATGTATTATAAAACGTACTTCATGACTGAGGTTTATATCTAAAGGTATACCTGTTATGCATCACAGAATCACACCTACTACATCTTGTACATCCACATAAAAAATAAATCAATAAAACATTAAAAACTGCAGACATGGTACTATGGATAAAAAAAATGTTCTCATTGCAGTTTTATATTTATTGTTTTAAAATAATGTTATTAATGATACCAGGCGTATAATGTTGTACGCCAGATGTGTGTTTCTTCTATGTTCTACAAAAGAGTCATCAGTGATGCTCGAATAAAAAAAGATTGAAGGCAAAATAAAGTACGCAGTTGAGGAGCATTGCTGACCTAATTCTCAAAGGTTTTGCCTAATGCAGCTAAAGTTGCATCCTTTTATCAAAATAAAAATATTTGTTTTCTCCTCAGTTATACTGCGGGTGTATTGCTTTTTCAAAAGTAGAACAATATATGGATATTGTAGACTAAATTTGCAACACATTAGTACTTGAGGGGTACTGAATTTGGTGCATTTCATGCAAAGGTGAACAGTATATACAAAATTCAGCACAGTACACAGTTACTTCAGGCTTGTCAAGATAATTTAATCAATTATCCATAAAAATCAATTTTTTTCTCAATCCGTGAATTAAATGAGTCCACAGTACTTCTTAATTGCTTTGATAAAAAAAAAGGTATAATTAACAAAAATGGAAGTTTCAAAATATGAAATAATGTTCTTGTCAAACTTCGTTTGATTTGACTGATGCAGAGGATGTTTAAAATTAGTGCACATAAAAAAAAAAACAACAAAAACAACAAAAAAAAACGACTATACGAACCACATAACCATCTGTAAACCAATTACACAAGTCCTAACCTTTTAAGTATTAGAGCATTACTAGTTTATTAATCTTGAACAAAGTTGTGTTGGTATAAAATATTATTTCCATACATCAGAACACACATTAATTTGTTAGAAAATGTGTTATGAATTGTTTAAATTCTGTTACCTGTACAAAAGAGAGTTGTGTTATCATTTTTGAAATCTATATTTTTGATTGATTATTTTCGCTATTGCTACATTTAATTAACAAATATTCTATTTTCTAACCATTTTGATAACTAATATAGTCTTTCTTCTTTTGTTGTAAGGTTTATTGTTTAATCCTTTACAATGAATATATTTATCAAAACTAGATCTATTTTTAAATGATAAATTTCGTTGTTTTATGAACAAGAGATTTTATAAAACAACAGTATTGATTATACTCACATGAAAGACTTGGATTATTTGAAAACATCAAAGCTTAAAGTCTAACCTTTAACTTAAATACAATTTTTATGATAACATGACATCTAGCTCGGAGGAGTCTATAATGACGAGGTTATATGATCTAATAGGAAACTTTGCACGAACAATATTATCCATTTTCTCTGAAAAAAAAAAGAATTTCAAGTTGTAGTCTATCACCGCCACTTAGCTATGCCTTTGTCTTTATATCCCCCCCCAAAAAAAAAAAAAAACGTTAACTCAAAATGCATGTATTTATAGTTCTTTGCATTTAAATACTATTTATATTTTTAGAAGTTTTAATAATAATAATGTTACAATCATCTGTGGTCAAATTCTGTCTAAATTGTATTATGTCGTTGCACAAAGAGATAAAAGTTTAAGTGAGCATTTATTGATTAAAGCAAATTAAAAACCTTGCTAAATAACACACATATTTCTCCCAAAAATACCGATTTTTTATCAAGTTTTTTTTTATTTGTCCCTCCTGAATTCCTTACATCTCTTCCGTTTCATTGTATTACAAAGAACAATGACAATAACAAAGTTATAGTTGTGTTTCAAAAGAGAGGCGAAAGATACCAAAGGGACATTCAAACTCCTAAGTCGAAAATAAACTGACAACGCCATGGCTAAAAAAGAAAAGACTAACATACTAACAACAGTACACAAAACACAACATAGAAAACTAAAGACTGAGCAACACGAACCCCACCAAAAACTAGGGTTGATATCAGATACTCCGGGAGGGTAAGCAGATCATAATCCTCATGTGACACCCGTCGTGTTGCTCATGTTAATACAAACCCGGTAATAAGTCTAATTCGGTGGGTCACAATCGGGGAAAAGGGGACCGGATTGTAGTTACGACATTTGGAACATATTCACTATCATCATTCTTTTAAACGGACATTCCATAACGGTCAACGAACTCATGATGAGGTCCATAAAATTTGCGAAGGGATGATTTCAACTTCACCATTTGGAACTCTTGGTTCAATAGCTTTCTTGTGTGCAGCAACTCTCTATCAAGGAAATCATGATACGAAATACAAGCCCTGGAATAGAAATGAAAAGTTCACAATTGGGAAGCTAAAATCATCTCTGTTGTTGTAAAGTTTTGTTTTCAACCGACCCTCATTGCCATTGAGATGTAAGTCAAGATATGAGACAGACTTAACTGTATCTGTTGTATTCTTAATCTTAAATTAGATGGGATAGATGCGTTAACATAGTCACCAAATTATCAATTATTTAGTGAGAGAACATCATCCATATAGCGGAAAGTAAAATTAAAGGATACTGCTAACTCCTTTTCCTTCTTCCTAAGAAGTTCCTGTTTGAAGTCAGCCTCATATGAATAAAGGAACAAATCGGCAAGAAGAGAGGTACAATTAGTTCCCATGGGGATGCCGATTGTTTGTTGTAAAACACGTCCTCCAAACGTAACAAATACATGTATGTTGTCAATCTTGATAATGTCCGTTTCAGAGAATTTTTTGTTGTGGTCATACAAAGACAAAATAATACACAGTCAGTCATTATCACCTCTTAATGTTGTTTTTTCAGATTTGATAACTTAATACTTTTAGTTAATATGACATCAATCGGGATTGAGTAACCTCTTTGTAAAGTTGAAAGGGCCCCAAAACATTCATTGCATACATGAAAAAAATAAGTCTTTTTGCTCTTGCACTGGTCTTTAAAATTATACCAGTTGTCTAGTTGAATTTTTGAAATAAACAGCTTCACGTCAGTAAAATATCCTACATGTACATTTTTTCTCTTTTCTCTATTGTTAACCCAAAAAAACTTAGAGCTTGTAAAACCGAATCTGAAATCTGATTGGAAGTCAGCCAGCATAGTATTGTACTTCATGCCCAATTATCTAAAACAATTGATAATTACGATTTCAAAAAAAGATAATAAACACATTTCAATATAAAATTATTCGTATGAAGTAGCAATGTCATTTCAAGGAAATGTGGATAGTCACTAGAAAGTGAATGGAGGAAATTAACAAAGAAATGTTTTTATTTCCTTATAAAGTGTTGATATTTTCCCTGTTCATCATTGTTTTCCTAACACTGATAATTGAAATAAGAAATCCCATTATTTTGGTTTCAGTTTTAAAGTTATCATCTACTTCAAACTTTCCAATGTTTCAAGCACTTACACTTATCCTCTTCCTCCTGAAAGGAAATACGAGACTTAATAAAGTCATATATCTATTTTAAAACAGTGACACAATTTGTATTACAGTCGTAGATAAGTTGACTACAGTTCAATAACTTTTTCACATTTGAAAACATTAACTGAAGAAGACAATAAGAAATAAGAAATTGGAAAAGAAATACTTCAGGGTAAGAATTTTAGAAATCATATAGATATAAGAAGATGTGATATGAGTGCCAATGAGACAACTCTCCATCCAAGTCACAATTTGCAAAAGTAAACCATTATAGGTCAAAGTACGGTCGTCAACACGGATCCTTAGCTCACACCGAACAACAAGCTATAAAGGGCCCCCAAAATAATCTATATCTATATTAAAAAAAAATGCGAAACACTTATGAACCACATCAACAAACGACAACCACTGAACATCAGGTTCCTGATGACTTATTTCCTTCTTTACATCTTTCATGATGAAAACGATAATATTTGTTCATAGGACACCTTTCCTCACTCCAATTGTCATTATTCATGTTTCTTGTTCAGTGAACTGTGAAATCTGGACCAAAACCTTATTTTTATGCATATAAATAAGTTCACATCATAACAAATATCTGTACAAAGATTCAAGTTCATGGTAAAATACATTTAACCAAAACTAAAACTAACATCAATGAAAAGACAGTCTGGAAAACATAATGACCCCTCAGATAATATCTGGGGAAGGAATTTGTTAGAAATTCCACAGGTTACGTCTTAAACTTTCGATGTTTCCAGAATCCAAGCACGACAATGCTCTTTCGTCAGTTCCCTTCCAAATTTAATAAAAAAAAAAAACTACTGCTAATTTTGTTTTATATTGTAAAAGTTGTAATAACAAAGATACCAAACTCCAAAGGAAATTCAACACGGAAAGTCCTTTATAAAATGCATATGGCATAAACAGAAGCTCAAGCACATCTAACGAATTGAAAACAACTGTCATATTCCTGACTTGGTACAAGCATTTCCTTATGTAGAAAATGGTGGATTAAACCTTGTTATAGCTAGCTTAACCTATCACTTGTATGACAGTTGCATTGAACTCTTTATTGAAAGGTAAAGAGATTGTTGTTTCTTAATTTTAATTTAGTGGTAACTTATTTTGTAGAGTGAATATGGAGATAATGTCCACATATAATTCGAAGTGTGAATCGTTGAAATTTTACACTTATCTATGCCAAAATATTGGATCTGACGAAGTTGTGAAAATTCGGAGATTAGCTTTCACTATTTTGGATTTGGGACAATCATTTGGTCATAAAACAATAACCAGTGGAAGTAAAGGTGAAGGACTTGATTTGAAAGGCAGTGATTTGGATATAATGGCTCTCTGTCCATTTTTTAAGGTGTATGAATCAGAAAAAGAAGTTGTTCTTGATGGTCTGACAATTCCCTTAGTTATGGTCACTGATGAGACCCATCCATGTTTTACACAATTATGTCGTCTAAATCACCATGGAGTATATAACCTTTGGGATTTGTGTTTTAAAGAAATACCTTTGTGGCAAAAGCATCCTCTTGGATACATGCTTTCAAGTGAACAGTACCAACTGCTAATTATGTCACTTGCTGGTCTCAAACTTGCTGAACTCAAACTTCCAAGTTTAGCGAAAACGCATGGCCCGTGTCTAACAAGTTTCGATGACCAATTAGATAAGGTAGTGTGCCTTAAATGTGATCAATGGCTATTTCAAACACAGCCATGGATTAGAAGACCACGTACTGCATGGCCATCACCTGAAATCATATCAAAAATAATATCTTGTGGCGTGCTATTTGTTCCAATTGGATGCAAAGGATCAGCAAATGAAAATCTGGAATGGCGAATTTCATTTTCTGTTGCAGAAAAGTTTCTTATATATTCTTTCAACCATACACAATTCTTATGCTATGGTCTGTTAAAAATTCTGCTGAAGGAAATAGTAGAGAAACATGAAGATTTGAAAGGTTTATTGTGTTCATATTTTTTAAAAACATTAATGTTTTGGATGTCAGAAGAAACAGATCCAAATTTATGGCGACCAGATAATATGATACCTTGTTTCATGGCATGTCTACAGAGATTACTGTACTGTGTCAGATATTCAATCTTGCTACATTTTTTTATTTCTGACAATAATTTTTTCTACTCACGGTTCAATGCTATGAACAAAAAAAAATTAGAAACCATACTTTCAAATTTATATGAGCGAGGAATTAATTGTTTTGCTTCTTCTGATACCCTAAAAGACTATCAAAGCCAATACTACAAAGTCACGCATCTTTTAACACGATTAAATTTTAAAACATTTGAACTATTTGTGGATTTATCAAATTTAAAGAAAATACATATACTATATCATTGTCTACATCATTCCAGAACTGGTTCATGTCAAAGTCTATTTGCATTGTATTTATCAAAGTCATGTTGGTTTGTTCCACATGCTTCAAATTATCTTTATACATGTTATAACTCAGAAAACAAACATCAATACTCGAAGTACAAATATGATCTCAGTCATTTATTGATAGGTGTACATTCAGATGCAGTGACAGGATGGCTGACTTTAGCTTCATATTTCTATGTTAAAAAAAATTACGTTGCCTCATTGAGATTAATAAATTATGCGTTGCAGAAATACACAGATGAGAAAATTTTTACTGGATCTGGATTCACCAAATATGAGTTAACATTTATCCAAAAACATGTTCTAAATCTGATGAAAACAGAAAAGTTGTATTCAGTATTAAGATCATTGAGAATTGAAACTCTTACATTTGGCCCTAAGTCATCAATAATTCCACAAGAATTACAACTAGATGTTACAAAGAGCCGTACATGTTATAGTTCTTTACCATTTGCATATTTCCTTGGTTTCTTATGTAACTACCATCTACATGACATCACATCATATAGACGTTACTTACAACAACTTATACTAACAAAGACAAAAGATAGTATTCATGTAAATTTATATAGAGTGAATACAGCTATTATGTGTGGCGTAGCTCATCAGTTAATTGGTGAGGCATATTTTGCTAAAGGATTGTTTCAGGAAGCTGCTAGGCAAGATAAGTACAACTTTACCAGTGCAGCAACAAGGTTGTCTAGACTCACATGATGCTGATGGATGTAACGCGTCTTTTGATTGGCTGACAGTGTATTGTCTATCAGCTCATAGACATAATTTTGTCATGTGACCGTGACGTCACCAAAGTTTTTTTATGATTTACCCCGACTTAAAATTATAAGGATTGACAGAAATTTTTTTTCTGTCGAATCGAAATAACATAAAAATGTGGTGCACACTTTGAAATAACACGCTTCGCGGAATATTCAGTGTGCACCTAATTTTTGACGTTATTTCTTCATAGACAGAAAAATTATTACAGTCATTCCTTAATCATGGCTATTAAATTTTTTTAAAATGCATGATACATTAGATTTCTATCTTCTATTTACTTACCGGAAATCTCGAGATTCTCTTAGTCATGTGACATTATTTTCATAATAATTGGGAAGACTGATTATTTTTTAAACATATTTCTTGCTTTTAAGACTAAATCAACTCAGATTGTTGAATAAATGCTTTTTATATGTTTCTGAGTATTATTTAGAATTATAATGAAAACACTGACAAAAGTCAACAGAAAGACAGCAGTAAAAGAAAATCAAATGTGTTAGACTTGAATAATGTAGAGGACAAAGTCAATAAGAGACCAACCTACCCCAGAATACTATAAATAAAAATTTGGGATACAAGTCAGTGAGACAGCAACCTACCAAAACCTCGTAAAATTATGAAAATGGATGAAAATGTTGGGTTAAAACTTTTAGGCATTTTTCATCCTCAATGTTCACCAACTTCGTACTTTTTTGGCTTTTTTAACTTCTTTTGATTCGAGCGTCACTGATGAGTCTTTTGTAAACGAAACGCGCGTCCGGCGCAAATATTAAATTTCAATCCTGGTATCTATGATGAGTTTATTTAAGTCAATGAAATAGATTTATGAAAACATTCAATACATATGACTATCAAATGCACTGTGGGGTATATGTATTTAGAAAGGAACCTTCAACAAAAAATACTTTGAATAGAAATGTGGGATACAGGTCAACGAAACAGCAACCTTCAGGACCCTCCAACACTTATAAATGTACATGGAAGTGTAGGTATAAGTCAATTAGACAGCAATTTACCAGAACCTCCAATAAGTATGATTATGAATTGAAATGTAGGGTATAAATCTAGTTGAGACAGCAACCTATCAAATCCCCAAACAAATATTACTATGAATGAGGATGTTTGTTTTAGTCAATAAGACAATAAGACAGCAATAGACAAGAATCTCGAACAAATATGATTATGAATGAAAATGCTTGATTTTAGTCAATGAAACAGGAACGTAGGAAACATCCAACATTTATGAACATGAATGGAAATAACTATTAATTTATCAAAACATCTACAAAACATGACTATATAGGTTATAAATAAGTCATGCAGTTAGCAACCTATTAAAATCTAAAAAAAATACTAGTAAATGGAATGTGAAGTAAATCATTTAGACAACAAAGTACCAGAACCTCCAACAAATATGACTATGAATTGAAATATGAGAGATAAGTTGTTGTCCCAAAACCCCTAACAATTATGACTAAGAATGAAAATGTGGGAAATATGTCAATAAGACAACAACCTATCGGAACCTCAAACAAATATGAATCAATAGTAATGTAGTTAATATGTTGTTTAGTAAGCTCCAACAAAAATGATTTTGCGTAGAACATGTAGATATATTTAACTACGAATGGAATTATAGGGTATAATTCAATGAGACAGCAATCTATTCAAGCGTCCAACAAATATGACTATGAAGGGAAATATTTGTTGTTAGTCAATAAAACAGAATTCTACGAAAACATCCAACAAATATCATTCTCATTATCAATGTAGGGTATAGTCATTTGAAGGCAAATATCTGTTCGATATACATGACACGCCCTATTGTGCGAGAGATAGATGGTTGATACTAGCTGTGAAAAATGCAGGACACGACCAACCATGCGAGAGACCTGTTTGTTGATACTAGCTGTGAAAAATGCATGACACGACCAACCATGCGAGAGACCTGTTTGTTGATACTAGCTGTGAAAAATGCATGACACGACCAACCATGCGAGAGATGTGTTGGTTGGTACTACAAAATGTAGCTTTGAAATATGCATGACACGGAAAACCGTGTGATAGTTGTGTCGGTTTGAACTAGCTATGTGTTATGCAAAACACGAACACCCGTGCGGGAGATGTGTTGGTTGGTACTAGCTGGGTACATGGAATTAAAACCAGTTTTGTAAAATTTACAAACAAAAAAGGAATATAGTCGCACGTGATGTCCTCTAAGATTTGATTTAAAATGCAATATATAAATAATACTATAACGGAAATTGACAGTTGTAGTTATGCAACATATCTTAAGCACTCTCTTAACTTTACGTTCTCGTTTATTTGTTTCCGGGACACTTAACAAAGTTGGTAAAATGTTACAGAAATATGTTTAAGGAAGTTTTATTTTATGTTAAAACAATGCGTGCGTACCTACTCCTTCTACAAGTCTGTCCACATCAATTATTATTTTTAAATCAGATCACTAGTTCATAGCCATATAAAGTCAAGGATTAACTTGTCATTTTTGTTGTACAAAATTGTTTTCAAAAACCATTCGAAAGGAAGTATGGGGATAAAAATTATAGAATGTTCATACTTTGCTAAAACGTTGTTTATATCGGCCCCTTTTTCAAAATAAAAAGTAAAATTCAGTGAGCTTTTGAATTCAGTTCAGGTTATACAGATTGTGACACAATTTGTTAAGATTATCTTAAATATATAATACACGAATGTAATAGCTATAGGACCAGAGGCTGGAATAGATTACTATTTTCAGCTTCATTATATATGAACAGGTCGAGGAATTCAGTTAAAATACATGACTAGGTTCTTGATTAAATCATAAGTATCTAAAACTAATAACTTGAAAATGAGTTTAAGGTCAACGGACATATATAAAGCAACAGTAGCATACCGCTGTTTAAAAGTCTTAAATCGATTGAGAGAAAACAAATTCGGGTTACAAACTAAATCCGAGGGAAACACATTAACTCAACTACTAGTATAAGAGGAATATAACAGAAAGACAGAAACACTCAAGTGCAATAAAAACAAACACCAACATACCAGAAACAGATTATTTGATAACAACTGCCGTTTTCCTGACTTTGTACATTTTAAGCAAAAAAATGGTTGGTTGAACCTGGTTTTATGGCTAGCCAAACCTCCCTCTTATATGGCAATGTTAAAAAATATCGCTAAAATGACGACACTACGTTACCGTAATACAGTCCAAACAAACGCAAAAAACACTCGAAACAGAGAAATGCATAAATAAATAATATAATAGTACTTTACACCATGTAAACCTCAGAATAACAACTGACATCTTCCATTGCAGACGAGCACAGGACACCACAAACAGTGACGTACTTGATGCATGACTAAAACTTAGGAACATAAGGCATCTGCAAGATTTGAATGAATCAAGTCTTTTATATCTGAATAATATCTTACAAATCAACAGACAGACAGACATAAGGCAGCATACTACCCTTCCTTGGAATGGGGATTTTAACATGTTTAATACGTACTGTCCCATGTCCTACAGTATATACAGTAGAAGAGATATAACTCTAGAATACAGTTTTCATTTATATTTATAACATATAAAAAAAAAATTCAAAAACTTTAATTGATTAGTATGTTCAATTGTTAGTCGATGCATATCCTAAAACTTATCGTTTAAATAATTTATGATAACCTTGTATTACACTTGTTCTAAAATCTCCATTGGAAGATATTCAATTATTGCATTTAATTTTCCAGAGTATTATAGTTTTACAATTATGAAGGCATTATGAAGGCAAGCACACAGTTTATCGTGTATACACAAAACACATTTGATGAGATAGAAAACAGAATATTTGGTATACAGATCATAATTATTACGATATTTTAGGCGAGAAAAAAAAATTGGGGTCACCGATGTTGTTTTCGAGATATGACGTCATCAAAACTTAAAGAATCGCGTTATACCGAAATATAGAAATAGCGCTCTAAATTGCTAAACAAAAGGCAAAATTATTGAAAAACGATGTTTAACTGGAATACCAAAAACAGTCAAATGTAACTTGTACCTTATAAACATTTATTTGTCTCTGTTTCCTTATTTTTGAAGGCCTTTGAATATTTCCCGCCATTTTTAATTGCTGTTTATAATAGATTTTTCTTGAAATAAAAAAAAATCTACTAATGTTTTTCCCTTCAAACTTCTGCATAAGTTGCAGTTTCAGGGAAGATTTTAAAAGCATAAATAAAAAAGGGGGTCACCGATTTTTTAAATCCGCTAAAACGGAAATAATCTTATTATCGAATTTTGGCGGGAACTATAACCTTTTCTTTTAACGTTATAGAACGACGTTGCTGGCATAACAGCATTTCTTGCAACGCTTGGGTTAAATTAAACCTTTTCACTACAAAATATAATATCATGTTTGAACATTTTTTAAGGTATTTAGATTATTCATTGATATTTTTATCAATCTATCGAATCGTTAAACATAGATACAGTAACAGGTTATTATAAAGTAATGGTCAAAGTTGAAGTCATCTCATTTTTTTAATTGCATTTGTTGTATGGGGAAAACGAATGTTTGCCTCATGCCGTATTATAGAAATAATTTTCGGCTTCCAGATAAAGAATCTTCTACCTCGGAAGACCGAGGGTATTCGGGCTGAAAAGTTACAAGTTCCTTTTAGACTGCAGGCAGAAAAATTTCACTAGCTTGTCCGTTCGCACCAGGAAGATAGAACCTGAAATGCCGTGTTAAAAAATGCCACAAACTCATCACGTTAAAAAAACCCTTATTTTCGGAAGGAATTTAAAATTGGTTAACATTTCCGTAATTACACAACGCTTCATAATTTATTCGAACTGTGGAAACCAAATTTTTTTCTGAGTTCTATCATCCCGCGCCCATTTTTCATACATCGTTTCATGTTCATTGTACATAATATGTTCAATGTTCATCGCCTAGGTATTAAAGCTTTATGTATTACTTATATGTTATTACCGTTCGATTAATCGCTCAAATTTGGTATGTTATGAGAAATACAATGCATCTGATAATTCAGTGTTAATACAGATTGACAATAAAATACACATCGCCATATTGATATCAGGAACATATAATGTTCCCAGTTGATATGTAATAAAAAAAATCTTTTAATTTGTAATAAACGGATCTAGGTTTTTTTTCTTGTTCTGCTACATCTATCCGTGTTTCTGTGGACATGTTCATGTATTTTATCTAACTCTAGTTTTTGATCAGATGACAAATGAGAGTGTGGATAACCTTTGAGGTAGAATAAGAGATTTTAATAAGTTCGAGTTCCAGTTAAATTTTGAGTTAAAGTTTGAGTTTTTTTTTTTAGTTCGAATATTAATTCGAG